CATGTCATAGTTTGCGAATCGAGCGATTCGCTAGCGAATCGCTGGATCCGAGCGTTGCGCCAGCGAATCGAACGTTGCACCAGCGAATCGAACTTTGCGCCAGCGAGTCGAACGATGTACCAGCGAGTCGAACTAGGTACCAGCGACTCATAGTGGCGGACAACTTTATAAGAAGCCCGCCCCCCCCCCACCCTCCCCATTTTCAAAACAAGCTCCACTGCAACAGTCCGTCACATTCAAACAGACACGTCACTGACACTGTTGAAAGTGGCGCCTCCTTTAAACGCGGTCCGCCACTATTGAGTCGCTGGTACCTAGTTCGACTCGCTGGTACATCGTTCGACTCGCTGGCGCAAAGTTCGATTCGCTGGTGCAACGTTCGATTCGCTGGCGCAACGCTCGGATCCAGCGATTCGCTAGCGAATCGCTCGATTCGCAAACTATGACATCGGCCTAACGTAACCCCTTTATTCTTCTTGCTCCTCCTCTTGCTTACATGGCTGGAATTTATCACCAAATGTGGCTGCATTAGCAGCGTTGTCACCTGCCTCTCGGAGCCTCAGCCTTTCCATTCTGGAAGAGGATGTGGGAGGGGCTGACCTGTCCAATAGGTGGGTCACAGTAGCAAATAACACTAGATTTATCTCATCACCGGTGATTAATATGCATGCATAAAAAGCGTGTGCTTCACCTCAGCCTAGTTCTGCCTCAACTAATTTTCCTTGCTCCTAGGAAAAGGTTCCTTAACAAAGGGGAACTAGCTTCAGTGAGAAGAAGAAATACCACTAGGGAATTTAATTCGGAATTAATGCCTACTGCTTTCACTCACTGTTGCAGGATGAAAAAACCAGCGCAGTGGACGGCACCTCCTTGTACCGGATTGTGCCTCAAATGGAGCGACTATCAGCTGATGGTGGAACAAACTTACAGGCTTTGCAAAGGTGGGTGATCACTATGAGATTTTGTATTGATGGGTCAGCGAATCAAGGCCCATTCTTCATTCAATTGATTACATCAAGGCATTGCTGGTTTTTTTCAGCGTTGGTGGATGACGACGACATGATGCACCGTCTGCGTGAATCAAAATTCGATCTAGTCTACAGTGAAGGGCTTGATACTTGTGGACCAGGTGTTTTTGAGGTTTGAACAGGCAGAATGTGTTGTTTTAGTACATCAGCACACTAGTTTTATTGTGTGTTGGTTCACTCGAATCTGTACATTTTCAGATGCTTAAAATCAAAAATGCAGTCATTCTTTGCAGTCTGGGAATGTGGCCACGACTATATGATATCTCAGGATTATTGCCTTCTCCGAGTTTTGTTCCAAGTAATTGCTCTGCGAATAGCTACTTTTTGTTTTTTATGATTTAACGCGGTTTTATCTGTATACTTGAGCATTACTCCACTACCCTAGCGAAATTGGCAGACGTAAACTCAAGCCATAGGGGAATAGAAAGCATCAATAACCACTCCTTCCAAAATGTTGCGTATCCTCTTATTCCAGTTGGGCTGTCGCCATTCTCGGATGAGCTCTCATTTATAGAGAGATTGATCAACTTCAATCTACACATCTTCTTTGAAATTTACAAGAAATGGTTAGACGGCCGTTTTTGGCGTATGTTCAACGAGAAAGCACCCGGCATACCTGCTATTCGAGATATACTCTATGTAAGAATAAGTACTTTGACTCAGATATATTGATATCATTTCTACATTATTCAGCTTTTCGTAGGAGAAAACAGCGTTGATCATGACGAACGTACATGAATTCGCTGAGACCACTCGTCCTAGAACGAATATGATACGGTATATTGGCGGCTCCACTATACATGATCCACAACCTTTGGGTAAGGTATGATTGCAGTCTTCGTATACAAATCGAACTCGGCGTTTCTTAGTGGATTTGCTCTGAGTTCACCTCACTCGATGGAGGTTCCTTCTAAGTGAAAGGCCTCATCGTTCACGCTGAAAGTCAAGCATTTGTGAAAAGCAACTTCATCCTGTTTGTGGCTTTAAGAGTTTCGACTATCACAGAAAACCGCAAATTCTTATGTACGATCGTTTGCACGTACAGATACGCAATTTCGGTACATTTCATGAGTTCGGATGATATCACTTCCGGTATATTGTAGAACTCTCCCTGTAGAAACAGCAGCATACTGGTTATGATTCATATCAATCTCCTTCCATTATTAACAAACCTCTTTCATATCTCTTTGCTGTCCTCTCGAAGCGCTATTTGTCGCGACCCGGTGCCCCGAGGTGGTGGTGGATGAAGCGCATCGGTGGCGGAGCACCGAGGACACGGCAGAACGGGTATTAGAAGGGCCCGAACACCCTGTCCTAGGGGGATGCGTCGCGTAAGGAATGCTCTGACGACTGTTGCCTGCCGCGAGCCTGGTGAGGCCCTCTCCCCTATCTGACGACCTTACGACCGTGCTGCTAAAGATGTGTAGATATTGCTACATAACAGAACACTAAGTATTAAGGTGATTTATACTAATATTACAATAGATTGCGAGACTACATTATATAGAAGGATGAGAGAGAACCTACGGGCACGATCGGAAGGATAAGCGGCGGAGTGGTATGCGACCGATCCGTTGGCTGTCGAGATGGTGTTGACGGCAGCTCCAACCATGGCTGAGGACTCCACGGACACAACCGCTCGGCGAGACGACTGGACGACGACTGACTGACAGACGAGCGCGGGCCAAGGCAGAGATGCAGAGCACTTCCCGCACTTCTGGATGCATGCGTTCGAACCATGGGAAAGTGTCTGCGTCCGTGGGAAGGCGTAGTATTTCGTCCTCCATAGCGTGAGAACGTGGCTGGAGCACGGGAAAGTATCGGCGCATACCTTGCACGTTGAAAAGGTCGTGACGAGAGTCGCGACACTATTATACCGTCCAGAGACGAGACGTTTTCTGCTAATCGCTCCATACCGAGCAGCCCATCAAATAATGGACAATGGCACACTTCTTTCAGAAGCCTATGTTGGCTGCTGTGATATTATACCAGTGGCCCATGATTGGCATGCTTGATTCAAGGCATATGCAAAATTATTTAACGGAATTTCGCTGACTACCGACTTTTATGTGAAATTGGATAACAATACTGTTCTGCCATCCTACTGTTTGATTGCTCACCCGTCCTTCTGCACCAAAGTTCCGTGCCATCGTTTCTTACCTACAATAACTGAAACAGAGTGCGAAACCATGGTATCTCTCGATGTGAATTCTGTAACGCATGCTCTGACCTTGTGTCGAGCACGTTTGCTCTCTATGATTATGTATTTGAAGCACGTGCTTCCGTCGGCAAACTCTACAAATCCTTAAGGAATGTTGTGCGTAAATATTGGCAACGGTAGATGTTTGCCGATCGACCGTATATATTGATACGTTCAATGATCCAAAAATGTGGTCACTGGCTGCCTTACCCTGATGATATCACACCTTCGATATCGAAGAAATGAAACTTGGAAGAGATCTAAAGTTAGGAGTCGAGATAATGCACTAGGGGCATATTTGAGCCGAGCTCTTAACTTCTACACATATAATCGGACTTTTTCAGGAGTTAAGTGATGTTTTGAACGAGAGACCTACCACCGTTTTGTTTTGCATGGGCACTGTTGTATACTCCAAAGACATGCCGGAGTGGATGAAACGCGGTACGTTTGCCATGATTTATCAATTTATCGTTCTTACGAAATGCGATTTTTTTCTCAGCTCAGCAGCACAATGTCTGCATTTGTCCTTTTCATTAATTTCAGTGTTCATTGAAACGTTTGCTTCGTTTCCAAACATAACTTTCTTGTGGAAATATGAGGATCCTGATGACGATATATTCAAGAATCTCTCGAATGTTCATCCAATGAAATGGATCCCCCAGACAGATCTGCTTGGTAGGCGATTAGTGTTACCAATCTTTTCCGCCTTGTAGAAATCTTTAAGTGTAGCCCGCTCATGTACTACCCGCGTACTCTTAAAGATTTCTTTGCGTTTCCAGTTAGGAAAAGGTTCTCTTATCAAGTGCATCAAGTGCATTGTTACTCGTGTTTCAATTTCAGCGGATCATCGAGTGTCGTTTGTTTATCACACATGGCGGCATGAACTCTATATTGGAATCTGTCAGTTTTGAAGACCTCATTCATCCTTTAGGTCAGATGAAACACAGTTTCAATTCAATACCTATTTCAGATGAATTTCGGGAAGCCAATGATTGTTGTGCCCTTGTTTGCTGATCAGCAGATGAACTCGAAAGCGGTCCAACGTCGTGGGCTCGGTGTTGTTATTGAGAAGCACTTGCTCAGCAAAGACATCCTATCAGCAGCCATTCAGAAAGTGCTTCACGATAAGTGAGTACATACAGAAATTGGGCGGGAAAATGGAGAGTCAGGCACTAATGAGTCATCATCTGTTAAGTTGGCTTGCATAAGTTCCTCTTGCCACATCGTTGAACATGACCGATACTCCAATTGCGTTGAGTGCTGCGTTAATTCTGCTCATAATAAAGGATAAAGCATTTGCCGTTGATCAATCCCTTTTTGGGATGCGGCACGCATTCTACTTCCATTTGTACATTCGTAGTGGCGTTTGAATGCGATGTGGCCTATACAATGACTTGCGGGGGGCCAGCCGATGTACAAGTCAGTGTTTTTATCCTCCCAGACAAGTCTGGTACCAATTAACCGACCCCGGAGGGATGGAAGGCTTGGTTGGCCCGGGCGACTCACGACCCAGGATTTGATCCCCGGACCGCTCGCGTGGTGAGCGTGCCACTTGCCACTACACCACTGGCACTTGATTTCTCCTAATACTGAATTGAACTTGAGAAAAAGCATCAGCAAATTGTGGATAGACCCTGAACTATGCGACTAGCTATCAAGAAGGAGGGATGAAGGCAGATCCTGTCCAGTGATTGCCTCCGGGGCAAAAATGGAAAGGTCGACTTTCTAACGGCGTGAATGGAGCGCTGAAATTGTCCTGGTCGACTGAATTTGTCGTTATTTCTGCCTAATGAATAGAAAAGCTTTTATCGATTCTGCATTGCCTAATTTTTTAAGGAGTATCGCTAAGAACTGTTCACTGGTCAAGAAGCTGCTCACAGATCGTCCACGACAATATCGTGAGGACATTGCAAAGTATACTAGGCTTATCATCGAATACGGAAGGCTCGAGCATTTACAAATGATTTCCCGGAACATGAGTCTCATTCAGTACCTCTGCTTAGATGTTATTGCTTTCGAAATATGTGTGATGTTTTTTGTGCTGTTTCTCTGTGTTTGGTCAATCAGGCAGATACTTTTGTATTTACGGACACCTAAAATAAAGAATGAGTGATCGGCACTTTGTTTGAGTTTTAGCATTATCCCTTGATTGGTTTGCTTTTTCGTTTCGAACCACGGGATAACGGAAAGAATGCAATAATTTAAAGGCAGAATTTACGATGAGAAGTTAGCTCATTGGAAATAAGGGTAGAGGTGGGTGGTCAGTGGAGCAGGGATGAAGAAGAAACCATTTGAAACGGCCCGAAACCCGAGAAATGGGACCCCTTCCTTGCCCGTTGATTTGCGCATTGATGCGACTCTCATCGCTGTGCCCTCTTCAACACTACGCTCTCTCTGCTATCTAATCACTCGCCACGTATAGACCTGCGGCGAGTGATTAGATAGTCGGTGGGCGTACCCCGCCAACCGCGCCAAGAGTGAGCCATGCTAGATCGTTGAGCTGCCGATTTCGTGTCGGTCAGCACCCTCAGGAGGTCCGCCTGTCTCCCATCTATGCCATTTTCCTCTTCTTTACCCTTGTTTTTATCGTGGGTTCCTCCGAATGGTTGCTGTTGTGAAAAATTTCTATTTTTGCTGACCGTGTTTCTGTTAGAATACACTTATGCAATTGCTTAGGACATGGCTTGTGTGGTAATGTGTGCCATTGGGTTGTGCCTGCTTTTCATCACACAGATTATGACATAGATGGGAAAGAGTTGTGTGAATGGGAAGAGGTGGGGTGACAGCTACATTAATTATACATCACGGACAGATAAAGGGCACAAAAACAAAGAATTGTGGGGCCGAATAGTGTAAACTCCCCGGAATATGTAAACCGGAGAGTGATTATGAGTGAAAACAACAACTCGCTCGAATAACGCAAGTAGTATATTGTTTGATACACTGAGAGGTCCTTCGGATGGTAAATCTTGAACGGCCTTTTGCAATGTACTTATCATAAATCCATACATGCACAGGATATAGAATCCATAGCTTATCAAGGTAAAGCAAAACAAAAAACAGTGATAGTAGAAAGGTGAGGACGGAATACATAACCACCTTCTGTCAATTCTTCACAGTCTCGGAGAAAGCAATAGAAAAACGAGGATGTTGGTGACTTGAAGCGAAAAACAGTATGAGATAGAGTGTTATGCAATCCAGTAAAAGAGAGAGGACTTAGCCGCCAAAAGAGAAAATTGGGTTCAAGCCATTATACCAAGAAAAAACCAGACTTTGTATACCAACAACAAAAAAGGATAGTTAGGGCCAGTTCTATCAGCCTGCCATGGTAGCATGTTAAGCCAACGCTTCGTTCAACATACCAAAGTACACATCAGCTTGCTTAGATTTCTCTATATGTGTTTCTTGGCCCAAAGCAGATCTGACGCTTACAGAAGTCGACACTTTCTTTTCCGCAAAAAACTGAAACAACAATTTTTAGTATGCTTTGTGAGCTTTCACAACTCTACTTGAAAATTAATCGAATTGAATGGGCAAAATCAACTCGGAAACCGAGCATTAGCATTCAGCTATCGCGCTACACTTTGTGGTATATGTTGTAAGCCTTTGGGAATAGCGAACTACTATGCGACATGATGCTTTCCGACTTGATGGCTTATGAAGTTACCATGTAACAACTTCAAAATCATCGTGCTTACCTTTGCCTTCAGGCGCTTCAGCTCAAGTCTCCATTTTTCGTTGTGACAGTAGATGATCAGAGGGACGGCAAAACCATATCTAAACACCTCATTAGTCCTTCTCTTCAAACTGGTTTCTATATAAAGTTATATGTGACTTTTAGGTAAGACCGAAATCTCAACTCCACAACGAAAACCTAATTACCATAATTAACAGCGCATCACTAGATGAAGGGCATCATTCAGATACATGACAGCAACCAGTCGTGAGAATAGTGAGTTTCTAGTGAGTGGACGTCGTATTCAACAGCTGTGATAAGTACGCTCTCGTACTTCACTTTTGAGTCACGAAAATGTTGTTATCCAACAGATTGGGCATCCAAAAAAGTCACGCAAGTCATGCTCCATTTTGAAATGATTCTTTCGGAAGGCACGTTGAACAAACTGAGGATATCTTGGCTCGACTACGTCGCGGCCCAGTGTTCATACCAAATTATTTAACTCATAGCGCACTCCTGCTTATGAAATTTTGAGATCCCACTCACACCCTATACAAGGTGACTGAAAAGTAAAGGACGCGATGTTTGTGAGTGCAAAAGTCAAGAAGGAGACCTGTTAACAGACTAACTATACAGAAAATTAAGCTTGACCAAGTGATGACTAGTATGCTCCAAGTTTAAGGCTTCTGCTTTGACAGAGGCCTTCTGACGTCCAATGGCGAACAGCAGTGCGCCGCAGGTAGCCAACGGTTATGTTGTCCCACGTCTTCTAAAGCGCTAATCTTCAAAGCATCTACCGAGTTGTAGATATCTTGCTCTCTAACATTTCCACATAGAGAAGTAATCGGGTCAAAGGCACACAAAGAGGAAGGTAGCAAATTCTTACTTCAGTGACAGGGGAAGTGTGCGTCCAGAACGCCTTTGATGAATTGGGAAGACCCAGTTTTGTAGGAGCGTGAAGGGTCATTGAGTAGATTGCTCATGGATCCAGAACACCATTCCGTACCTTAGCATCGTCGACCAATGTATCCGAATTAATTTTATCAGTTCATAAAGGTTAACACCCAATGGAGTCTCACTTTTGGATATAACCCTGTCCCCAAATATTACACTTTCGTTAGAGAATTGGTTATAAACCAGACTTTAGACTTGCTCTCTGTTTCTGTCAGTAACTTCATCTGATTAGGATGGTTGCGAAGAAGCTTGAAGCGAACATTTTCTCATCAACTCAAATTGGTAGGAGGGATGCGGCGCGCCCCGAGCTCGCGCAGATGCATTTTATCATTCGATTTCATTCAGATTGCTGCAGTAAAAACCAGAGTAGATAGAGACGGTAACCCTTCAGACATGCTTTCTGAGATCCATTGGTAGGAATGACGGCAGATCCTGAGATCAAAGCGATGTGACTCACGCTGGCTTCATCGTTGTGAGTGATCCTCTTCTAAGTGATTGCCCAATCCTCTGGGTGTGCACAATTCTCGAAGTTTCACTTTTCGCAATCGCAGTTATGTGGTATTGAACCTTGGAGGAAGGGAAGATGCTTCGACGAAAAAAGGATAAAAGGATAAAGCATTTGCCGTTGATCAATCCCTTTTGGGATGCGGCACGCATTCTACTTCCATTTGTACATTCGTAGTGGCGTTTGAATGCGATGTGGCCTATACAATGACTTGCGGGGCCAGCCGATGTACAAGTCAGTGTTTTTTATCCTCCCAGACAAGTCTGGTACCAATTAACCGACCCCGGAGGGATGGAAGGCTTGGTTGGCCCGGGCGACTCACGACCCAGGATTTGATCCCCGGACCGCTCGCGTGGTAAGCGTGCCACTTGCCACTACACCACTTCCGCCCTGCTGTGATGAATAAAAGAGAAAACATTGAATTGCTTTGCAAATTCGCAACTTCGGAGACCGTTCTTGTTCAGCCTCTTGATAATAAGCCGATGCGAGGAAATCTTCATAGCGAGAGTTCAGGTGAACTTTGGACCAAACAACTTATGGTGCTTCTTCACAGAGTTTCCAAGCTTTCGAATAAATTCAAACGTTCCGAAAACACATCACGGCTCAGTGCCAGCTAGCGCTCAAAGCCGCGCTATACTTTTCAGCACGCTGCATAGTCGCTTGCTATTTTCTTCTTTAGTTTGTGCAACACGCCGAACTATAGTGACTGCCCCGGAGTGTCATGCTAATCCCAATGCAAAAACAACGCGATACCTCGGAACATTTTCAGCGAAATATTCAAGATCTTTTCAGCGAAGAATAGCAAATTTATTTCAAGACTTTTCCAAAAGTTTAAGCTCTTGAAGAGCTTGTCACAAGAGGCTCTTGAAACTCTCTTGAGCTCCTTAAAATACTCTCGCCAATTCGTTGAAAGAAGTTTTTGACTTCCAATGAATATTCTGCAGTATCCCAACTTTTACACATTTAAAACATAAACTCCATCAAACATGAAGTGAAAAAGAGTGCGACTCACAGCAATGCAGTGTAGTTGTAAACGATCACAGCAACGTTTTGGTAGAACTCGGGAACCTCGAAGTTCCCAATGGCGAGACATATAGCTAGGATTATGTTCAAGAATGCCGCCCAAAACACAAAGTGGTTGACGAACTAAACATTGAGAGAGTTTAGAAATCAGTGAAAAGTTTTAAATAAACCTTTTTCCTGACCCAGCCACTGCTAAACTTGAAAACCCATCACGTTACAGAAAATCCGCTCGTGGATATCTTTCGGTAAGTAGCTTGAATTGTTCCACCTTGTAAAATTTCAAGAGAACGAAAACAGCTCTGTTCATAACACAACATAGAATCACTGTTGCATATTGAGGCCAGACAAAGCAAGCTGTCTGCTTATGTAATGGATTGTTCGGAAAGTTCCTGCAGTAACTGACTATTAAGCGTTTTGCGCCATTTCTGATCGACATCTGGGGAACTACTAACGCGTTATATGTAAGCAGAAAGCGCGTTTCTCCCTCGGCTAAAATCTACTCTACTCTAACTCTGTAAAACTTTTCCCCTTCTCTTGAAATCTTGAATACAACACTGCCAGGTTCGCATTTCTTCTTCTCTCTCGACTTTGCTCGGATGTGCACTAAACCAGATCAGTATATCAACTGGGTGTTTGGTTCCGATTCCACAAAAAATTCGATGTGCAGTCGTGAACCAAAATGTTTTTCTAGCGATAGATCAGGGTGAAGGTCGAAACTGAGGGTTTCGACCCAACTAGACCCGTTGGAACAGGCTTCTTTCTAACTGCGTATTGCGATGGAGCTCCCAAATATGTAGGCGTCCAAAAAACGTTCAAATAAGTCGACAAGTGGGTGCCGCCTCTTTTTCTCATGGTTGCGCAACGCTATCTCTCACTTCCAGCTGTGCACAGGTTGGTCTAGCCGAGCAACAAAATTTGCTGAAAACTTGCACAGTAGCCCTCTTTCTTATCAACTGCCAGCCATCTGGATATTGCAATAGCCATCTAATTTTAGCCAAAAATGTTTTGATTGGGCCAAGATATGCGCTTTTGAATTTGAGGGTCAAAGTCAACGAAACTTTCCGAAAAGCCAACATGTACGGAGACGGGAGTTAATCGATGTTTTCAAAGTTGAGAAGTTTTTTTGAATCATCAACAACCTCAAGCAAGGGCGGCCTGCCATGATTTGCCGTTGCGCAATTCAGCCACCTATGGAAGGCTTCCCAACTCCGTTATAGCGCGTGAGAAGGATTAGTGAACGAATGGCTATTCTGCTCGATTTACGCAAGAATCATCAGGCTCTTGACAGGAGCTTTTACTGTTCTGACTCCGCGACCACTAACACTGCCATACGACTGTCAGGTGAAGGATGCTGAAAAGTAGAATGCTTCCAGTGATCTCTCAAACAGCATTGGCCTTGGATACTTTTGCGTTTTCATTACACTCTATTCTAGAAATGGTTAACAACTCAGGTTTCAGAACTGCCATTCCTTCCTGCGAATAACTTAGACCGTGCAATTTGAAGTGCAACAACGCATACGTCAATGTGGAACTCCACACTTCGACCAGGGCATTCCCAACGTTGGGAGGAAGCGCAAGTCATTTGATGAACGTGAAGAATCCGTATCTTGGCTCCTGATTAGACGGGTCTGTGGCGGCAGTGGCGGCATTTGATAGATGACGCGTGGATGAATTGTTTTCAAGATGCTTGATCTCAGCAAAGCGTGCTGGGAACAGCTTATTCCAAACTTCTTTCGATTTGGGTCTCCGCCACGTCAAAGACGTAGACGCCTAATCAGAGGGCGAGACATGGACTGTAGCATTCCACCGCTACCCATACATATTATTTGAAAGTGAATTCGAAATTGAACTGTCATTCTAATCTGGCGTTAACAACCACAAAACTTTCAATGTAATCACGGCAAACATTAATTATTAACGCTCCATAAATAAACCACACATACGTAACAAACTCGTATGTTTTCGGCGATTTGGTAACGAGCGCCCAACGAGTACTTCCGAATGCCATCCAGTCCACTCTTCGCTTCCCAGTAGTAACGCTTGTTGAGCTTATAATGCACCGCGTTCACCTGAATTTGCCAACTGTTCATGAACAAATTGGAAGAGTATATATCATCGTTTAGAAATAAGAAGGTCAACTGATGCATTCCTGTCAGTAAGGTTTTGCCCCCATTCTCATTCCAATCGAATACCGGGTTCATGCTGCAAAGTGAAAGCCTCAACAATCTGTGGACTACAGAGCTCTGAAATCGACCGAGATGTTAGATGTTTTGTAAGGAGCACGTTCAATTTTGGTTTCGTAATGTGCATCCCGCCGGTTTGTGAAAAGTGCTGTCCCTTTATGATTCTGCGCCAATCTGTTTACCCTTCCAGTGCATTTTGTCATATACAAAACTTGCACTTGTCGTGTGCAAAACTTGAGGACGAGTTAGATGGAGGAAAAGAATTCACTTATACCTTTGCGGTCGTTTTGCTTCCTGTTAATTGCTTTTTGTGGCTTGCTCTTCCTTGCAAGTAAGGCTCATAAGCCTCAAACGACATCCTGTGGCTAAGGCACGCAAGCGTAGAAAAGCTCAGCCCTCCAATGGGAGAGTAAACTGGAAGGGAAATGGAGCTGGACGGAGGCGTTGTCTCATTTCAGCATTGCCAACCTTTTCACTGATGAGGAAGTACTCACAGTCGAGTTAGCCT